AACAGATATTTATTTATTTATAATTCATTAAGTTTATTGGTACATTTTAGGTATACAATATGATGGCATTCATCATTGGGAATTTGTACCTTTACGTAATATATCTTGGTTCTTGTTTTTTTCCCCCATTCTCCTGCCCTCCCTTCAACCCCTCTACCCTTCCCCATTTACAAAGCCTGTTTCCATTTTTTCCTTTTCTCATATTTATTCCTTTTCCTTACCTTACCTCTCCTACTTCCCCTCTTTGGGCCTTATCTTCCTATTTCACACTGTCTGTTCTACATATTTTTTTGGTACCAGGGATCAAACTCAGGTCCTTCCGCTTGAGGGCCAGGTGGCGGAACCACTGAGCTAAATCCCTGGCCCTGTCTATTCTACATTTTGATCCTTATTTACACTTTGAGTTTACTGGTGACTGGATAAAGAAGATTTTTTTAATGTATATAAAATGGAGTACTAAGCTGTAAAGAATGAGAAACTAGAGACATTTAAACTATAGAGACATTTAAAGCTAAATGGATGCACATTGAGGCCATACTCTTTTAAGTGAAATAAATAGGACATGTGTTAATACCAAATAGTTTCTCTTGTGTTAGAAACTCAAATGGTTCTTTGAGTTTGCTGGTTCAGTTTTCTACTTCAGACTACTCTTGAACCTCTTTTTTCAATTTAGTCATTGTGTTCTACAATTTCTGGTTCTTTTTAACATTTTCTGTCTCTGCGTATATTCTCAGTTGCATGAACATCATTTTTCTGATCTTTTTGAATATCTTACTGGTGGGCTTTTTGCGTATCTTATGTGAAATAATGGAAAGTGTTTTTACTTTTAGTAGTAGGAAATGATCTCACTTCTTGCTTTCTCTTTTTTATCCACTTAAATATCTTAGAGAGTCATGGTACAGATATGTATTATGGTTGGTCATATATTGTTGGAGAAAGATTCATTTACATTTCAGACCTTAAGACTTATTAAGGATATATTTGAAAGACTAAAGAAATGGGATAGGAAGTGGGAACAGGATAGTGCCTGACTAATAGTCCAGCTGGACCTGAGAAAGAGGCTGGGATTAGTGTGTAAGGTTTATTAATGTCTGTTCTCTCTTGCCAAGTCATTTGATTGCAGGTGTAGGTTAGCAGTAAGACAAGGTAAATAAAATACAGACCTAGAGTTGGAACACATTGGGATCTAAGTCAGGTAGCAGTAGAGTTCATATAAGAGATTAGTTCCACTAAAGTCTTGTAACAGAAAATTTATTGGAAGCACCCACTCATGAACCAAGTGGGAAACTATATCTAGTAAAAAAAAAGATGTTAATGAACTGCCATCTTAAAAATATTTTCATTTCCTTTTCCTGAATTGATTTTGTGTTTCAGATTAGGTTTTTAATTTTTAATTTAGAATTTCTGCTATATTTTAAAAAATTAATATTGCCACAAATATTTTACATTATAAATATTTCATATTATTGAAATTATGTGCATTTCCTTCTGTCATGGAACAGGTTTTTTTGAGGACTTCTGAAACTGGATATTATGACTATATCAGTTTATGGCTTTTCAATATTATAAAATCATTCTAATCTTTACATATAGTATTAGATTGTCTACACATTTCCTTAGGAAATGTTAGAAAGGTAACAACTTGTTTAATGACAGTGAACTTTTAAAATCTTTTTAATGCTTTTGATATATGTTCAGGTTACCTCCAAATTTTTTTTTTACCTTTATTAGTACATGTTTGCAGTATATAATGATTCCATTCACTGCAGGAAATTAGTACATAACACATTTCAATTCTATTTTTTTCCTCTTCCTTCAACTCTCCTTTTATTTTTCCCAGCATCAGATTCATTTATCTTATAAGACTTTACAAAGTTACATATTGAAAACCGGACTAATAGGCCAAAGAACGTATAAAACATGTAAGTCAATTGTACTAAGTCAGGGAACCCTTTTAGATACATTGTCCACATTGGATTACAATACCTTATTTCTCTCTCTCTTTCCTATTATCTGTCTCTTATTTCATACTATATAT